ATTTGTTATTTTTAGCACAGCCATAGCTGCTCGGAACCTGGAAACCGAGTTAGGTTTCAGTTGTGAAACTACAAAGCAGCAGCACGCTCAATCCCAAGACACTGTATCTTGCCATCTTCCCGAGTCCTGAGACTCAGGTTTGTAGGAGTGAGGTGGGGGGACTTAGAACCTGGCCCAAAGCCACAGATATTTTGCAATGAAACTCAGCTTCTCAGACCTGGCTTACTTAGGCTGAAATAGGCTCCCATTCCCTCTCGTCATTACATTTGGGCTAAAACTCGGTTGGTATCACCAAGGTTTAGTTTCGCTGTTTCCCTCTCTCTCTTTCTTCTCAGTTACACAGCACGGTATCACGACCCAAATCTTTAGCATCTGAACCATACAGCTGAACTCTCTGAAACCGAAAGAGCAGGGGCAAGCTGTGGAGATGCAAGTCAGGCTGTGGTCACCAGGTCGCAGAGAAGTCTCAACTGCCTGGGGCTGCTGACCTGGATGGAAGCTCCCTAGGGACATCCCTTCCCCCCACCCCCATACCTTTATTTAACACAATTTTGGTTTGTTTTATGAGCCCTTGAAGTATCTGCTTCCACTTGGGTTTGTAGGTACTATTAGAGAACACTATTTTAACTCCTTGAATTGACACCAAGAAGCTGAGGTCCTATTTATTTCACCCCCTGTGAGAGACTGTCTTCTCAGCATGGGTTCTCAGGAGCATCTAAATCAGGCAATCAAGTTAGATAAGTAATATGTAATTTTCTTATTATGTTATTATTTATTTGCTTTGTGTGTGTGTGTGTGTGTGTGTGTGTGTGTGTGTGTTGAGGAGTAGGAACATGTACACAAAAGTCAGAGGACAAGCCAGGCAGCGGTGGCACATGCCTTTAATCCCAGCACTCGGGAGGCAGAGGCATGTGGATCTCTGTGAGTTTGAGGCCAGCCTGGTCTACAAGAGCTAGTTCCAGGACAGGCTCCAAAGCTACAGAGAAACCCTGTCTCTAAAAACCAAAAAAGAAAAAAGAAAAGAAAGAAAGGAAGGAAGGAAGGAAGGAAGGAAGGAAGAAATTCAGCGGACAACTTGCAGAAGTCAGTTCTCTCCTACTGTGTGGATCCCAGGGACTGAGCTCAGGTTGCCAAACTTGGAGGCAAGCACCCTTACACGCTGAGCAGTCTGGCTGGGGAGCAAAGCCAGGATTCTGAGTATGCCAGGCAAACAGTCTAACACTGAACTGTGCACTCAACCACACTAGATTTTAAGTGGAGCAAATACTGAAACTTAGAACAACAAAATTAAAATAATCTATAACCCTACTACCCAGTGACTGATATTTTCCTATTTTTTTCAGTATTAATCGTTATTAAAGGGTAACCTACTTACAATTCAGATTTGGGGGGAGCAGGAAGATAAGTTCTTTGTAATCTTTCAACCTTAGGTAGTATTAGATAAATAAATATATCCATAAAGTATGAATGCATATATGTGAAATATAATTGCGATATACATTATCGAGGTACATTAGAATATAAATAAGATTTTATGCACACTCATATTTGACCTGTCTCAATTGTTACTACAGTAGTGCAATGTAACAAACTCCACCCACCTGTAATCCCGGCACTCAGAGGAGAATTATAAACTCAAGGCCAGCCAGCTACAGTAGCAAGACCCTATCAAAACAAAAGAAAAGACGGGGATGAGGTGCAAGGCTTTAATCCCAGTACTTGAGAGGTCGAAGCAGAGGCAGACAGAAAAGCAATGGTAGGCAGATGTCTGTGAGTAGAGGCTGGACAGGCCTCCATTCGGAGTTCCGGCAAGGGCTGCATGAAAAGACTGCCTCACACAAACAAAAACAACCTGCCTCCCACTCACTATCTGAAGCTTGAAGTTGTTTATTCTGACTCTTTAGCAAGCTGGGCTCTGCTAAGTGGCTCTGGGTTACAGGCGTTTCTACCATGAACAAAACTCAGATCTGTTCTGAGAACAAGGTTATCTAGTCGTCTCTTGGCTCTAGCCAAGAGGTACAAGGAGCCAAGCACAAGCAAACCTACCCAAGCCTCTGTTTGTACTTTTGTCTTGTTTGTGCTAATGTCGTTAGCCAACACACCTCACATGGCTAAACCCAGAGTCAAGGGGAAGGAATGCAAGTTAGTGACTAAGAGCAATGTTAGTGGTCCAGGGAAGTAGTTGTTCTTCCTGGGGAGGCAAAGATGAGAGGGAGGGACACACACACACATTTGTATGCATGTGCTTGTGCGTGGGTATGTGCGTGTGTAAGTGCAATGTCCATGGAGTCCAGAAGAGGGCAACAAATCCCCTGAAGTTAGAGTTACAGGCAGTTGTGAATCACCTGACGTGGGAGCTGGTACTCGAACTCAGGTCCTCTGAAAGAGCAGCAAATGCTCTTAGCCACTGAGCTATCTCTGCTGTTCCCAAAGTAGGGGCTATTTTAAAGGCTAATATCTGAGGCGTCTGCTGAGATCCTCTCATATGAGATTTAGGTGAAACCTCAGAACTCACCTGGCCACTAGTTCCATGCACTCTAAGAGATCTCTGACCCGGAAATTGCATTGCTGCAATTTGAAGGTCACTCAGCTGTCCCTTGTGTTGCTCCAGTTCCGCTCTCATGTTTTTTATTTATTCCTCCCTAGAATATTTCACAGGGATGTATGCAGAAGATTTTGCTGAACATTTGGGGCAGCAAATGAGTTTTACATCTGCATTCAAACCTCTGCGTCATTCAGCCCCTCTCATTTGGACTTGATGTGAATTTAGCCCACACTCAGCCTCCCTACCCAGTGCTTGCTGGAGAATTTTCTCTGGTCTCGGGAGTTCTGATCAGCTCATCTCAGCTTTTGTGCAGCCTGGTTCAGCTTTCATATTCATTCATGGGATATCTGTACATTGAGAATGTGTGCCCCTCCTCACCTTGAGAAATGTTTGATTCAAGTGGGGAAATTAGTAATGCCTGTTGCTATTTGGGAGCCAGATCATTCTCCTCTGCAGGGACTGTTGGTGCATTGTAAGGTGTTTGTTAGCATCTCCAGCCTCCAGTTACTAGATGTCAGTAACACCAGCGCTTGTGCCCTGGAGTTATAAACAACCAGAACAGAGATGTTGCAGCCTTCTTCCAGGAGGAAAAAAATATCTCATTAGAAAATTGCTGCTAACTCAGGTGGTGGTGGTGCACGCCTTTAATCCCAGCACTCGGGAAGCAGAGACAGGTGGATCTCTGTGAGTGTGAGGTCAACCTGTTCTACAAAGCAAGTTCCAGGTCAGTCAGGGCTACACAGAGAAACCCTGTCTCAAAAAATTAAAAAAAAAAAGGAGGGAAAGGAAGAGAGGAAGGATGAGTGAATGACCAATGGATAAATGAATGAATGAACTAAAAATTCAAACCAAAGCATTCAAGAGAGCCAGAAGTGTAGAGTCTTTTAGACAGAAGGTTTCTATCTCTGCATAACACACCATGACCTGGTTGCAATACGACATTGGCCCACTATTCCAATACATGCAGTGTTTTTGAACAAGGATTATGTGAGACTGTAGAACCAATGCAGTAAGAGCTAGGACAGTGATTGGGAATGGGGGGGGGGTGGGGCGCGGGTGTTGGACCTCCTGGCTTGCATTCTTGTGTCAAAGCTCTGAAATAGTTACTGAACCATACAAGTCCTTGATGATCTCATCTCTAAAATGAAGTTCTCTACTCATAAAAGTTATTGAGAAGGTTATATGAAATAACCCATATGTATTGGTAAGGGTTCTCTAGAGTAACAGAACTTATATATTTATTTTTATATAAAGGGAATCTATGGGAATGGCTTATAGGTTGCAGTCTAGCTAATCAGTGGTTGGCTGTAAATGGAAAGTCCAAGAATCCAGTAGTTGCTTAGTCCACCAAGCTAGAGATCTCAACTAGTCTTCAGCAAATGCTGGAGTCCCGAAGAAGTAGGCTCTAACACCAGTGAAGGAACGGATGTGCTAGCAAGGAAAAGTAGGCAAAGATCAAAAGCTTCCTTCTTCTGTGCCCTTATATAGACTTCCAGAAGAAGGTATGGTGCAGACTAAGGGTCTGTCTTCCCTGCTCAAGATCCAGATCAAAGGACATTTCCTGCCTCAAAGGTCTAGACTAGAAATGGATTAACCCTCTTCAAACCAAGCAAAAAATCTCTCCCAGGGGTGTCCTCCATTCCTGGCTCACAGTTCATTCCAGATGTAGTCAAGTTGACAACTGAGAATAACCCTCACACCATGTGAATTAGTTCTTGGAACAGGGAATAAGTACTCATCATTATTCCTGTCATTATATCGGGAGAATACGAATGATGAGCTTTACCCACAAGCATAGCCATAGCTGCTCTTCTGGAATAGTCTCAGAGTCTCGTAGCAATACTAAAAGTTCCCGTCTTGAAACTATACAGAATAGTTGTATCACCTAAGAAACTGTCCAGAAACTTGGGGGCAGTTGTGTCTGTCCCATCCATTGTGTCTGGTTTAGGCAGTAGAGGTCCGAGAGGGAGAGACAGTAACTACAAGGTTCTGGTCACCAACCACTTCGTAGCAGTATATTTCCTTTGAGGAACACTAGCCTTTTGCCCTTCGGCCTTTTGCCCTTTGGCCATCTAAAGAAAAGAGGCATTCTTCTGAAATCTGAAATGGCTAGGAGAATCTGAAGCTTTTTCCTTCCAATTGTATGCCCAGAGCTGTGTGAACCCAGTCTACCTCTAAATAAGAAATTTACACATCACCAGGGCAATGAACAGACACAAAACATGTTGCAGAGTGGTGACCATGAAGCAATAAAGGCATGCCTGGGTTATTTCTCTTTGGTCAATGTCTTCCTGGCAACAGAGCTACAGGATACTCCGTAATGGAAAAGCCTTGGCCTGGTTTTTCAGGGTAGTGAGCAGTGGGAGGCACAGGTTGCTCAGCAGGAAGGTGGCTGCTTCCTTGCCACTGGACGGCAGGACAATAAAGCATCTTGTCCTCTGTTTGTGTCTTCCAGGCTGGAGCAGGAAATACAAGCGCTCGAAAGTGAAGAGTCCCAGATATCTGCCAAAGAACAGCTCATCCTCGAGAAACTGAAGGAGACAGAGAAATCCTTCCAGGACTTGCAGAAGGTGAGGAAAGAAAAGCAGCATTTCTCTAAATCACAGGGGTGAAGGGGCCAGGCCCCTAGAGAAGCAGATACAACAGTGCTTCTCAGCCTTCTTAATGCTGTGACCCTTTAATACAGATCCTCATGGTGTGGCGACCCTCCAGCCATAAAATCATTTTGTTGCTATTCATAATTGTAGTTTTGCTACTGTTATGAATTGTAATATAAATATCTGATATGCAATATATCTGATATGTGACCCCCCAAAGGGTTCACAGCCCACAGATTGAGAACCACTGGGCCTGAGAAATCTGAACCCTACCCTGAAAAGAGCGCAGAAGTGGCAGGAGCCAGGTCCATCCCAGAAACAGAGCAGCCCATCTGCATTGGGAGGCATGGAGACGTTTGATTAATCCTGTTTATCTGCTGATCTCCCCACCCCTTATCTCCCAAATGTCTGAAAAGTCTTCAGATTGGCACCAGAAGTATAAATTCAGCCCCTTTTAAGCAGGTTAGATGACTCTGTGTGGGTTTAGTCAGAATTCCCTTTGAGTATTCCCTTTAGGAGAGGGCGAGAGGAGACCTGTAGCAAGTGGGCGGGAATCCCAACACACACCCTGTAAATGCATGGAATTCCCCCACATGAAAACAAACATTTCTGTGTGGTAACACAGAGAGGCCCTGATTTCTCAAAACCCCATTTTCGGCCTCCTGCCTCTGTGATTACAACAACAACAAAAAAAGCTGTATACAATTAAGTTCATGACAGGACTTTTCTAACATAGCATTATCAACGCAACTCAGGAGAGTTGCTGGATGGTTGAAATTATACTCAGCTGAGTAGGGCACATCCTTAACTGACCCCAGAAGAAAAGAGAAAAGCAAGCTCGGATCTTTCCTGTTGCCTGCTGAGTTCTGGCTCTGTGTCCGGGGCTGGGGGTTGGGACACGCCACACACGCACAGTGATGCTCTGCCCTGCTTTTGTCTCCACAGAGTTTCTCCACGGCTGATGGAGGTAAGTGCTCTCTACCCTGGCTGTACTCAGATGCTTCCCTCCTGGTCCACTGAGTGGGTCTCATGCATACAGGCTCACCAGGAGACAGATGTGAAGTGGCCCTTCCTAAGGACATCCCTGGCAAGGGCGTCAAGAGGTCAACATTGCCATCGTTACTGCCTCTGCTTCTTGACTTGATACTTCTATTAGCACATTGGCCAGTAGGTTTTTTTTTTTTCCAGTTTAAGCCACCCTAAAGACTTGCTGTTGGACTTTTCTTGAAAAGGGTTGGCAAAAGAACATGCTAGAGTCAGAACTAAGTTTCTTACAGGAACCAACCCATCCTCACAAGTCACTAAGTCTCCAGGTCACATGAGAGGTGTCTTGGTGTTTAGGAAACCCTTCTAAGGCCTCTGGAACTTTCTTTGGAAAGGATAGAGGACCTCTTTTCCTCCATCCTATGCCAGCAGTGTCTCTCTAACCTTCCAGCGAAATTAGATGAGGCAGAATTTCCTCCCTCCCATGACATCTGACCCTGAGCCCTGGAGAGTGAACATAGGACTCTCGTACCCCTGCTCCCAGCCAGACAGAAGGGACAGGTCTTTCTCCTGTCCCCTCCTCTGCCTTCGTGGGCTGTGGGGATGAACTTGGGAATCTCTTCTGGGATTCACTGTATCCCCTGACCTCAGCTACAAACTCAAAGTTGCTGTTTTCATCTTGGCCCTCATGAGATGGGCTTTGAAATGCAAGGGTGCATGGGAGCCTCAGCTGCTACCTGCTTCTCATGTGGCTCCCACACAGTCAGCCTCTAGCTCAGGAAGAGGACGAGGGGTCAAAGGACTTGGCTTGGCATCAGAATGTTTCCCATTGTCATTGAGGGAGAAAAAAAAATAGAGGATCTGGATTTCTTCTGGATCGGCCACAGACCAGGTATTTGCAGGTAGGACAGTTCTGTCTGGTACAAAAGATAGGCAAAAATAAAATAAAATAAAATAAAATAAAATAAAATAAAATAAAACAATAGAGAAGATATCATGAACCCCACCCCCCAGCAAGTAAAAGACCTGTATTTGAGCTCCCTCGTAGGTGATCTTTGAGAAGACACCAATGAAAGCCTCTGTTCTCAGAACCTGAGGCAAGGGACGCACCAGCAGGAACTCTGGGAGAAAAGGACCAACCACATTTCTAGGAGAGAAGCCCAGCCCCCTAGGTTGTGGCTTAACTGGGGCACAGGTGAAGGGGGTGGCCGCGGGCACGTGGGGGCACTACACAAGAGAACAGCAGAGTTCATGTATCGGGGAGGTGGAATCGCTGCCAGGCCATGCTGGGGCTGGAACACGTACCCACAGACACTTGCATCTGCAGAAGTCATGTTCTCTCATGCTGTGCTCCTCCCCAGTTCCTTGTACTCCATCCTCTAACCAGAACCTTCCTTGGTCTTTTCTCTGATAGTCGGGGTAGGGAGGGAATCTGTATACCCTGCCCCTCAGCTGGGTGTGTCTGGCATAGATGTCTGTGTAGTCTACTACTTAATAAGCCAAAATGGAGCCATGTTGCAATCTGTTACCCTAGTCTCTTTCCTTTGTGTCCCAGAAACCCCACTCATTTCCTCCTGCAGCCTTCCCACAGTTTTTTCTGGATCCTGCAAACACTCCCAGAGGCAGGAAGCAGCCTGGCAAAAGACTTTGGAAGCCCCAAGATGGGTGAACACAGGCTTAGAAGGCTATGATTCTCAGGGATCCTGGGGAGGTATTTCTGTGGCCTTCCCTGTCACCCTACATTGTGACTCCTGACCTCTGTGTTGGTGACTTCTCCATCAGTTGTACCTACTAGCAAAGGAAGACGTCTAAGGAAGGGCACACATGCTAATAAGAATATGATCCATGCCAAGGTCATTTTATGATCTGAGAATAAAACCCCAAATGCATCCCACTTGGGGAACATTGGGCGGTCTGTTTTCAAATTCTTCCTTCCAAAAATTCTAAATTGATGAGACCTTCTTAGAGTCAATCAACTGTTGCTATTAAGACTTAGTAAGAAATTATTCTAGAACAATGATACTGAAAGAAAAACCTCAGTCCCAGTATCATAGACGGGCTGGCCACAGACTCTAGTTCTAGCTTGGACTATGTGAACTGTGTAGTTGCTGCAGAGTGTCAATCCCAGCATTCTCTACCTAAGAGTGCATATGTGTGAGTGCGTGCGTGTGTGTGTATGTGTGTGTTTGCAGACACACACACAATGGCTCTTCTTTGGGTACCCCCTGCATATGATCCCACATATATTAGAGGAAGTGGTAATATTGCTGAGTCTTTGATGGTGTTTGATGTCATGGAAGCCCTGCTCATCAAGAAGAGTTCATTCCACTCTTGATTGCAATTTCCTGATGAAGTTATAATGCGTCTCTCTGCTATTTAAATAACATTGTTACCTACCAGAGCCTTCACTGCTTTATGTGAGTATAAATCACATATGGTATATACTTTCTGTGTGATAAATACCAGGACCAAAAAAAAAATCAACTTCAAGGAAGAGTTTTTGTCAACTAACAATCCGAGGTTCAGCATAGTAGGGAAGTCAAGGCAGTAGGAATTTAAAACAGCTGGTCACATTGCACCCACAGTCAAGAGTAGAGAGAAGTGGCTACGTGTCTGCATATTGGAGCTCAATCGCCTCTCTTCATTGACACAGTCCAGGATCCCCTATGTAGGAGATGGCATCACCCACAGTGTTCAGGTATTCCCGTACCAGTTAACATGAGACAGTCTCTCAAGGGGCTGGAGAGACTGATCCGCATCCAAGAGTACTTGTTGCTCTTGCAAATGACCCAGGTTCAGTTCCCAACACCCACAATGTGCCCTCCAATTCCAGGGGATCCAATATCCTCTCCTGAATTCTGAGGGCACCAGACATGGATGTAATACACATGATACATACAGGCAAAACACTTATATTTAAAAAATAAAATAAATCTTAAAAAAACTTAAGGCAATTCCCCACAGATATGCCTATAGGCTAACCCAATCCAGAAAAACCCCTCATTGAGACAGTTTTCTCAGCTGATTCTAGATTATGGCAAGTTGACAGTTAAGGTAGCCAGCATAGTGTGTAGCTACAGTATATATCTAATGTGAAGCCTTGGCCAAAACAAACAAAGGCTCATGTACGTCCTGGGCCTATCCCAGTCTCGCTGTTGGATGCTGTTCTTAGATTCCTGTCCTGTGCCAGTCTGTGGTGTCCTGTAGCCACACCGTGATTGGGAAATCTCTATATTTGGTTGCCTATTAAGTCTTGTTTCAAGAGTTCTCAGCGGGGCTGCACTTCCAGTTATAGCTACACGTGTTCTTCATAACGACTGCAGTGTTTTAGCTGGGCTGGAACGAAGATGCGCTCTGAATTTCTGCCCCTTATGTGATGTGCTTTATCTTCTCTGACAGCAGAGAGAAAAAGAGACCCCTGGTGTTAATAGAAAAAGGACGCTAGTTAATAGTTAAAGGCCATTTGCTATTCTGTGTGCTGTGTTTTCACAGACCTCCTGGCTATGTAATAAATACAGTTTAGTACTTCCTTCCTTCTTCTCCTCTTCCTCCTCCTCCTTTCCTTCTTACTCTTCTTCTTTTGTTTTTTTTTTCTTTATGGGGGAGGTGTGTTTTGTTTAGTTTTGTTTTAAGACAGGATCTTTCTATCTAGTCCTGACTGGAGCTTACTCTGTAGACCAGGCTGGCCTCCAACTCACAGAGACCTACCTTCCTCTGCCTTCTGAGTGCTGGGATTAAAGGTGTGCACCACCACACCTGACCTAAGGTTTGCACTTAAGGATACGTTGAGGAGGCTACTCTGGTATCCCTCTGACATCTCCCTCTCTATCCCTTGTCTCCTAGCAGAAGTCATGTAGCCCCCAGCCCTCTGAGAGTTGTGGTCATTGGGCCTGCATCTGGCGCACATTAGACAAGGGTACTTCCGTCACCCATTCACATCTGTCCCGGAGCAACCTCCTAGAGTACGATAAGACATAAGCCCTGAGCTACAGGTTCTTTCAGAAGCTCACTCTTGTGTCTATAAGTGGCGTTTGCTTCCAGCTGCTAAAATGTTCACCCTAGCAACACTATGCCTAGCATAGAATGTGGTAGACACGTGTGTGCTCAATCTCTGAGGTCTTACTTGGTCTATTTAACGGCTTAAACCTCCATTTCATTTGAATGCAAAAGGTCATACTTGTGGAGGTCCCTCCCATTCCAGAGGTGTATGGAAGTCTTTGGTGAGACTCAGAAGGTCTGCAAGGCTGGTCTAGTCATCGTCCCTCTCCTTAGTTGCTCTAGTACCTGATAGCTCTGTCATCTTTTCATGAACCGCCGTTGTCAAAAGGCTCCTAGCCCCTCCAGACTGACGAATGTCAAGCTGCTGCTGTCTCTGGCCCTGCCTTGTGCTTGCCTGGGGCACACATCCTCCCAGACCTCCCCGCAGTGAGAGCAGTGAGACAGCTGCAGTCTCCGAGTTCCAGAGTAATAGAAGCTCAAGGTTAGAGAAATATATTCAACGTTGGTATGGCTACGCAGCCCCCAGGCTCAACTCCAGACCCGTCTTTAGGGATTCCCTTCCAGGCAGCTTCATAACCGCTTCCCAGCTGACTTCCTTCCTGTAGCAAAAGGATTTTCAGATCTGTCTTTCCTGCCCGGGATCCGGAGCCTGTGCAGCTTGGGGAAAGAGAAGAAAATGCGAATCTTGCTCCGGTCTAGTGTCTTCTTACCTCGTGCTTATGTCGTGTTCCTTGTTTTGTTTGGCTTGGGGGATTGTTTGGGACAGACTTGGACTAGCCCTGGCTGGGCTCGAATTCTACACACAGTGGTTGACCTCAAACTTGCGGCAATCCTCCTGCCTCTGCCTCTCGAATCCTGAGATTACAGGTGTGCACTACCATATTCTGTCTGGGGTTTTGTTGTTCTTCTTCTTGGGCTGGCTTGCAACTTGGTATGTAGCCCAGGCTGGCTTGAACTCATCACTGTCCTCCCGCTTAACCTCCC